TTCTATCCATAATATAATAAAACTCTTCTTTCTTTTTGTTATATTTTTGTACGTTGCGCGCCGTATCTCGCTCGCGACGTAACATGGACAATGCTCCATATCACAGTACGAAAGTAGAGAAAGGGTACAGCAGGATAAGATGGTCAAAAGTGCCCTTGAGCCGAATTTGCTTCGCAATGTACCATTCGATAGCATATCCCAAAAAACCGTACACCAAGTTTCAACCTTGTACCTCAACCGGGAGGGTAGTTACAGGGTAAGAAAGAAAAAGTAGTTTTTGCTGAAAAAATCTGAAAAAATTATAGAATATTCTAGCCTTGTTTCTTTATGACTGTGAATTTTTTCAGATTTTTCGCTTGCAAATCCTAGACGTGAAAAATCAAAAACGCAAAAAAAAGTCGAAAAATTGAGATTTCGGGTAGAAACTTTTGAGACACTAGATTTTTACTTTTACAGTAGTTAGATATTCGCAAGACTGGTGTCCTCAATTTTTTTCAGATTTTTCATCCCACCCCCTGAAAACCACCCCTCGCGTTCTGGCTCCTTCCCTGTTGGGGAGGGCACGCGGGCCCCCCCTCACCTATCCCCTTCCCGTATCCGGCTCTCCTAGGGCGGCGGTTCCCGCCGGCGCCGTGGTTGGCGCCGGCCTCTTCTCCGAGCGGGATCGCTCCTTTCGCGACCCCGCTCGGCCCTCTCCTTGAGGGCGATGACCTACCCACAATAGGAGATCACCGCCCTCCACCTCGTCTCGCCGGTGAGCATCTGTCTTACGACACTTGCCGGCGGGAGGTCCTGCCCCATCTCGACACGCAGGGCGTGGCGGGCCAACTCAAACACAGGACACACCTCGAGGGTGTGCTGTGCTGTATTCCGCCCCGCCCCGCAATGCCAACACCTGGGTGTATCCTCCTTCCCAATTCGGCACAGGTACTCCCCGAAGCACCCATGTCCGGAGAGCACCTGTTTGGCCCGGAATGTCAGGGCGCCATAGCCGCGATCCCGCCATTCTGACAGCACCGGCAGGACCGCCCCTGCGGCGCGATTTCCAGGAGCCACCCCTCGAAGAGAGAGGCGCCACCTTTCCATCGCGACCAGTCGGGCCTGGCTCCGATACTCCTCCACCGTTGGTCCAGGCGGGTTCTCCCCGGCATGACGGAGGGCTCTTGAGTACCAGTAGGTACTGGACTCGACCTCCGCCAGGTATTGGAGAGGGATGAACCCCGCCAGGACCATCGCCGCCGCATAGGAGATCGTGCAGTACCCCCGCACGACCCTGACGGCGAGCCGGCGCTCCACCCGCTGAAAAATATTGCAGCTGCGCCTGTCCACCGCCAAATCGCCGGCCCATATCGGTGCCCCGTACAGGGCTATGGACCGGACGATTCCCGCGTAGAGGCGGCGAACCCTCCCTCCCGGCCCCCCTAGATTGGGTAAAAGGCGACCAAGAGCGGCCGCCACCCTATCCAGTCGGGGAGCCAGACGGTCGAAGTGCGCATCGAAACATAGGCCAGTGGATATCGAGATACAGACCGAGGTATCGGAGACCTCGGCCGATCTCGACCCGGCACCCTCCAACTCCGAGCCAGAGCCCGGCCGGAGGGGCTACCCCACGCCGAGGCTTGAAGAACCACATAGCCTCGGTCTTGTGGGGAGCCAGCTCCAAACCCAACCCCCGGATCGCGTCATAGACGCGTGCTACCGCCTCCTCGGCACGGCGGCTGGTCCGCTCCCAGTCCCGCCCGGTAGCCAGAATGAAATAATCTCTGCGAAGATAGTTATCCACACCCCGGACGGGAGAACCACCTCCTGGGTCGGGTTGTACCCCAGGTTTCATAGGGGAGGACCCATTTTGGAGCCCTGGGGTACCCCGCAGTCCACCTCCCTCCAATGCACTGTACCGTCCCGGCCCACGTAGCAAATCCTCCTGCCATCCAGGAAGGCCCCGATGATCCTCCGCAGATGCGGGGGGACGTTGTGACGATCCAACGCCCCCCGTATCGCCCCATGGGGCAGGGTGTTGAACGCATTGGTTACGTCCAATGAGACGCCAAGCGCCACCCCGCCCCGGGACGTGGCCGACTCCGCGAGGGTGCGCACCCGCTGAATGGCGTCGATGGTGCTGCGACCCTCGCGAAACCCGAACTGGGTGTCGGCCAGATCGGGACCCACGCTCGACAGGTGGTGGGCGAGGCGTTCGGCAATGATGTGCTCGAAGAGCTTGCCCACCTCGTCCAACAGCACGATGGGCCGGTACGCGGAGGGAGAATCCGCGGGCCGACCGTCTTTGCGGAGCAGAACCAGCGGAGCAAAACACTCCTCGCTCCAGCGCGGCGCTAAAGAGACGGATCAACCTTGTGGATCAACCCAGGACCCCCAACGCGATGACCCAGGCGCGGCCGGGTATACCATCAGGGCCCGGAGCGATGTTTTTCGCCCCGAGCCTCTTGATGGCCCCGGCGAGCTCCCTCTCGGTGACCCCCAGGTCGGCGGACCAAGCGACTGGCTCCGCCGGCCCGCGCGGGCGTGCCTCCTCCCCGGATCGGGGAAAGAGGGTGTCCACCACCCGCTCGAGAAATTGGGGGTCCAGGCTCTCCGATACCGGGGGCGCCATGGGCGAAGTTTGCTCATTACCATGCGGTACGGACGCCCCCAGGGATCCTTGTTGTTACGTATGCTGATCAGTCTTTATTGACGACTTTACAATGCTACGAACAAAACTCGACTAGCCTAAACAGATACGCTCACTCTGACTGACAATCACACACACTCACTCGTACGTACATTTATGATCTCACTCACACAGCATTCTCACTTACCGACGTATACATTACACTTGTCAAGAGAGCCCTGGAGCTCCTCCCGTGCCCGAGACTTCGCGTCCCTGATGGCCTGCCTCAGGGCCGCCACGAAGACCTGGTACGTGCCCCTCAGCAATTCCTCCCTCGCCGGGTCGCGGACCCGAACCCTTCGGGCGCGCTGCCACTGGCGGCGGGCGTGTTGACATTCGGATCGAATGTCCGCAATGTCGCCCGACCACCAGTACACCGCCCTCGGGGGGGGGGGGGGCAGACGAGGGGCCCGGGGCATGGCGGTGTCCGCCCTCAATATCCGCGACAGGCCCGGCCGGAAGAGGTGGCCAGGCCACGACGAGGGCTGCAGCCATCAGTAGGTCCTTTGTCCATCCGCCTCAGCACCCAGCGACGCGGTGACGCGTCACGTGTCGGGCGGCAAGAGGTGGGGAGAGAGACGCTGAACCGGATATACCGGTGATCACTCAGCGTCTCCCTCATCGCCACCCTCCAACCCCGCACCCTGCGCTCGATCCCAGGGGACGCCCAGCTTAAATCCACAATGGACTCCTCCTGGGCCCGAACGGAGGTGCTGGTGGAGCCCCTGTTTAGAAGCAGGAGCCCCGTGCTTGCCGCCCAATCGAGCACCGCTCTGCCCCTCACGTCGGTTCTCGGGGACCCCCAGGCTTCGGTCTTGGAGTTGAAGTCCCCCAGGACCAGTGCCTGCCGGGCGGGAGAGCTGGAGATGAAGCTCCCCACCCGGTCTAGGCACTCCTCAAATTCGAGGCGGGTCCAGCTGGGCAGTGCGTAAACGCCCACCACCGCGACGCCCGAAGTTGGCCGTCCTTAGAGTAACGTTTCGGTGCGGTACGGAAAACGGCGGAGGTAGTAGGATAATCGGGAGCGGCGGTTAGATGCCTTCATGGGCGGACGGCCGTAGACACAACCCGTCCTTACCCAGGCAGTAAGAAGACCGAGCTCCGGTGGACGCCGTAGACACGTATACGTCCGGGCCGGCGGTCGGGAAGCCGCCGAGAGAACTCTCGGCAGTGGCCAAAGATACAGCGGTCAGTATCGCCGGACGGCCGTAGACACAACCCATCCTGACGAACGCTGCTGGAGGAACAGTAGGAGCCCAAAAATGAAGTTGATCGCCTCTTTATCGCTCATCCGAGGATTGGCTTCCGAGTGTCGATCTGGTTTCGGTAGTCTCGCGGCCCGGTATATATTTGCTCGCGAGGCCGTTCGCCTCGCGAGTTCGCGGTGCGCGCGGTCGCCACCTGTCGGCGGCGCTGGTACTAGCGCGCGCTGGCGGGGCCCGCGGTTTCGCGGCCTCGTACTCCTTACACATTGTACCTTAGGATTATATAATTGTTCGAGCGTCGAACGAGTCATCTAGAAATTTCTAGATCGCTTCCTTCGTCTCTGCTGTTCGTTCCGCCGGCCTCCAGCCATCTCTCTCGCTCCGTTGGCCGACGTAGCGAGCCGACTGGGCTGCTAGACCGGCGGGCGACGACGGGGACGAGGGAACCATAATATAAATATGCCGCCGCATACTTGCTTTTCTATATACTCGGCTTAACGTACAAGTTTAGCAGAAATTCGAACAATCTGCTTCGGTTAGCAAGAACTGTTAAACTTTTCTTTGGATTTCTCTTTATTCAAATACAATTCTTAGAATCAAAGATCCTCCGTGATCATTTCGCACCTTTTTTCTATACGCGGTTGCTCCATCGGAAGGTATCGCTTCGGCAAGGTCGCGCACCGGCAAAAACTTTAAGTCGAATCCGTTCTCTAACCCCTTTCCCGGTTAAGGGGCGAAACGATCAAACATTGGTCCTTCGAGCCGGATTTTTGCGGTCAACGAACGTTCTTCCACGTCGCGAGTGAGTGGTGCCAGTGAAGATTCCTGGGAAATTGCGGCTGGACTCCAACGCGGGAGGATTGACTCGCCGCCTCAAGACCGGACTCCACGAACAAATCAACCAGGCCTCGGAAAAGGGAGTCAAAAGGAGAAAGATAAGTCCCATTCTTTATTTAAATCATTTCTCTTGCCGTAACGGTCCTGCCGTGACGTCACCCGCTTGGGCGTTGTCTCCTGAGGTCGAGCCTGTGTTTGTAAACGCTTCGGAACGTCTTGAACTTCGAGTCAACAGTCGGTGCTTCTAACGGTTTTCGGAAACGCCCTGATCTGAAAAGGGAAGAATTACGATGCCTTCGACTGAATACGTGGATATTTTACGGGAACAGGAGGAACTCGGACGTTGGATCCAACGGTTTTGGACTAACCTTTGTAAATTGGGTAGGGAAAAAATTACGCGGGCAGTTTTGGAACAGCGTAGAGGTCTCCTTGAGCGATATTGGGATGCGTTTTTAAATGGTCACCGTCAACTGTTGCGATTCAAAGAAGCCGAGGACAGTGCTTACGTAGACCAAGACCGCTTTTCTACCATCGAAGAAGCTTATCTTCAGGTCGCGGCTCAGATGGCGCAGTACCAAGAGGACCTCGCGAATGCGGGTCCCTCGCGTGGAGTACAAGCGCCTCCAGACCCGCCGGCAAAGCCGCAATTGCCAAAGATACAATTACCTACCTTCTCGGGAGACCCCCTGCAGTGGGAGAGTTTCCGAGATCTTTTCCGGAGCCTCGTTCACAGCGTTCCCAATCTTCCAGATGTACAGAAATTGCTGTACCTGAAGACGGCCTTGACCGGGGAAGCGGCGGAGGTCATCCAAAATACGCCAATCACCGATGCTGGATACCAAGGAGCCTGGGAGGATCTGGAGCAGCGGTACGGGAATTTGCGTCTTCTGTCTTTCTCGCACCACCGGGCTCTTCTCTCCTGCCCTCCCGCGCAACAGCAGTCTGCCGCGGAATTGAAAAGGCTGTTAGATACATTCAGACAATCGATCAGGGCGTACACGGCGCTAAACAAACCGGTACCTCAATGGGATGAGTGGTTTGTTTATTTCTTAAGCCAAAAATTGGACAAAACCACCCACCTGGCCTGGGAAACCTCTCTTGCTGATAGTCGTGACATCCCGTCGTTCCGACAGCTTTCTCTTTTCCTAGAAAATCGCATCCAAGCGCTGGATGCTGCTCAGGCGGCCGACCCCGTGTTGCATCCCGCAACAACCAAAGGTGCCCTGGCTAAAACAAACAAGGAGGCGTCTGTAAAACGGTCTAAAGTCGCAGTCTTAGCTGCATCGGCTAAGAGTCCCGCCCCCCGTAAGTGCCCCTCGTGTGCAGGAAATCATAACTTTGCTTATTGTTCTAAGCTAAAGGCGCTCCCACCACGGCGCCGGAAGGAGCGAGCGCAACAACTACAGGCGTGTTTTAACTGCTTGACTGTTGGCCACGACTCGAACAAGTGCCCATCCAGCCAAGTCTGCTTAGCGTGCGGCAACAAGCACCACACGCTCCTCCATGATGCGATGGCGAGTCCCGCGAAGAGTGCACCCACGGCCAAAGGAGACGCTCCAACATCTCCACCGCCAGCGGTTTTTTCCGACATCGAAGAAAAAAACGTAGCTGCCTCCTTCGCCTGTTCAGCTACCACTCGACCCGCCGCGCTCTTAGCAACGGCCAAGGTGAGGGTGGAGGCACCATCAGGGGAACACCTAGAGGTCAGAGCCCTGCTAGACACCGGTTCGGACACGTCGCTGGTATCGGGTTGGGTAGCTCAAGCACTCCGTTTGCCACGGCGGGCGGTTAGCGTCGCCATCTCAGGAGTACAGGAGAATGAGAGTGGACTGGCGAAAAGCGAAGTTTCCTTTTCTTTGCGCTCTCGTCTAGACCCAAGCTTTCACTTGTCGGTTCGTGCATTGGTGCTGCGGAAACTGACGGCGTTGCTCCCAGCTCGAGCAGTGCAACCACAGTCTTGGCCGCACCTTCAAGGAGTGATTCTCGCCGATCCTGAATATGGAGTACCCTCTCGTGTTGACTTGATCCTAGGAGCTGATATTTGTGGAGTTTTGTTACAGGACGAGTCGAGGGTTGGACCGATGGGTACCCCAACGGCGCGGCGTACGCCTCTTGGGTGGGTACTGATGGGCCCTGTCTCTGATGCCAAAGGACCTAGCAGCAAGGCAGTCGTCCACAGCCTTCATTGCCAAACGGACGACTCAACGAATAGGCTGCTTCGGCGCTTTTGGGAGCTCGAAGAGCTACACGAACAGCCCCCGTTATCACCCGAGGACCGAGAATGTGAGCGGCACTTTCGAGAGACGCACTATCGGGACGAAACAGGCCGCTACTCGGTGCACCTACCCTTCAAATTGGATCCAAGCCTCGCCCTGAAGCCCAGCAGATCGACGGCGCTAAAGCTGCTGCTCAGCTGTGAGCGCAAGTTGGCGTCCAACGAAGCCTGGCGAGACAAGTACTCGCAGTTCATGGACGAGTACGCGGCCTTGAGTCACATGGAGGCGGTACCGGAATCTGCGGTTCAGGATCCAGCCTACTATCTACCGCACCATGCTGTGGCGAAGCGATACGACCCTACTGGCAAAATCGGGGTCGTCTTCAATGCCTCCTTTCGCACCGCCACGGGATCCTCTCTCAACGACTGCCTGCTGCCTGGACCGAAACTACAGTCAGACCTCTGGATGATTTTAACACGATGGCGCCTTTTTCGAGTAGTATTTACCTCGGATATTGTTAAAATGTTTCGGCAGATTCGAGTAGACCCGGCGGACGCGGACTGGACCAGGATACTTTGGCGCTCCAGACCCGATCAACCTGTACAGGACTTCAGGCTCAAGACCGTCACCTATGGCACAGCCTGCGCGCCCTTCCTTGCGCTGCGGGTGTTGGTCCAACTAGCGGCAGACGAAGAGGAGCGTTTTCCGCTGGGAGCGGTCGCAATTCGTCGGCATTCGTATGTGGATGATATCCTTGCCGGGGCCGACGACGAGGAAGCAGCTCTGGAATTACGACGACAGGTCATCTCCATCCTGCAATCGGGAGGCTTCGATCTGAGTAAATGGGCATCGAATAAGCCGAGCTTACAGGAAGCGGAAGAAAGTCAAGCCTGCGTGTTCCAGGACCACACTGGAGTCAGTACCTTGGGAGTCGTCTGGAGGCCAACCACGGACACCTTCTCCTTGCGTGTCCTTCCACCCCTCAAAGAGCCCTCCCGATACACAAAAAGGCGTATCCTCTCGGAAGTAGCCAGTCTCTTCGACCCCTTGGGATGGGCGGCCCCTGTTTTAATTTTCGCAAAGATTCTCATGCAGGACCTCTGGATAATTGGCGCAGAGTGGGATGAGGACTTACCTGACCAACTGCTTTCCGCATGGAAAACCTTCCGGACGACGCTGAGCCAACTCGACGCTTTGGCCATTCCTCGCTGGACGAACTACTCAGCAGACTCGGCGCAACTGGATCTGCACGGGTTCTGCGATGCCTCCCAGCGAGCTTATGCAGCCGTCGTCTACCTGCGAGTGTCCAAGGGAGAAGTCAGCGTAACCACACTGCTTGTGGCAAAAACCAAGGTCGCTCCGGTCAAAGCAGTTAGCATACCACGCCTGGAATTATGCGGCGCCGTGCTTCTTTCCAAATTAATTGCGGAAGTACAAAGGGGATTGAACGTACCAGCAACCATCACGGCTTGGACGGACTCTAGCGTTACCCTCCACTGGATCCGAGGGCATGCCTCGACCTGGAAGCCGTTTGTTGCTCACAGAGTAGCCACTGTGCAGTCCAATGTTCCGCCTCAAAATTGGAGACACGTGGCTACCAAACACAACCCTGCGGACTTGGCAACAAGAGGGATAACGCCGTCGGAGCTCCTATCGTCGCAGCTTTGGTGGAGGGGACCCTCCTGGCTCATCAACCCCCCCGATCAGTGGCCTGCATCACCACTAGGAAAGGTCGAGGAGGCCGACTTGGAGCAGGGCCGAGTACAAATCTACCTAGCAAAGGAAAACGAGGAGAACGATCTCTTAACAAGGTTTTCAAGCTTGACACGCCTAACTGCCGTTATTGCTCTCTGCTTTAGATTTCATCGACTTACAAGGAAGCTGAAGACCGAAACCGGGTTCATCCGGGCTTCGGAGCGAGACGCTGCTCTGCGGATCGCTATCGGCCTAGCTCAGAAGTCCAACTTCCACGCAGAGGTCGACCAGCTCCGGCAGCACAAAGAGGTACGGCGATCGTCGACCCTCATCGCCTTGAGGCCCTTCCTGGATGACCAAGGGCTGCTACGCGTCGGAGGCCGCCTGGACCAAGCCTCCCTTCCCTATAATGAGAGGCACCCTTACATCATCGGGAAGAAAAATCCGTTGGCTACTCTTTTGGTGCGAGATGCCCATCTCCGTACTTTACACGGAGGACCACAACTCACCAGGAGCCTGCTGGCGCGACGCTACTGGATCATCCATGGCCGCTCTCTAGTGCGAGACGTCATTAAGGGGTGCGTAAAATGTGCTCGCTACAGTGGAAGGCCGACCACGCAGTTGATGGGCCCCTTACCGATCGAGCGCATTACTCCCCGCCGACCCTTCCTTTCTACGGGAGTGGACTACGCAGGACCGGTGAAGCTGCGAACATCGCCAGGAAGAGGACACAAATCCTACAAGGGATATATAGCGCTGTTCATTTGCCTTAGTACTCGCGCGATTCATCTGGAAGCTGTCTCAGATCTTACCTCTGCCTCATTCCTAGCCGCTTTTCGCAGGTTCATCAGTCGCCGAGGCCGCTGCGCCACGATGTTGAGCGATAATGGGACCGTCTTCCACGGAGCGGACCGGGAGTTGCGCAACATGTTCCGCGGCGCTTCCGCCTTCTACCTAAACGCCGCAGCTTCGCTGGCAGCCGAAGGCACGGATTGGAGCTTCATCCCTCCGTATGCTCCGCACTTCGGGGGCCTATGGGAGGCAGGAGTTAGAACGGTTAAACATCATTTGCGAAGAATCGTCGAAAACGCCACGCTTACCTTCGAGGAGATGACGACGCTTCTGTGCCAGGTGGAAGCTTGCGTAAATTCACGGCCGCTACATCCACTTTCCGACGACCCCTCGGACCTGTCGGCATTAACACCCGGACACTTTTTAATCGGTGAACCCACTTGTATCGTTCCGGATCCAGAATCCGACTCGCATGATATTTCTCTTATTTCGCGCTGGCGACAAATATCTGCATTACGTTCTCACTTTTGGCACAGGTGGAGGCGGGAATATCTGCAGCATTTGCAGCAACTTCCCAAGTGGCGTCAGCAGAAGGAGAACCTGAAGCTGGGGACACTAGTGTTACTACGCGACGAGTTGCAACCACCGGCAAAATGGCCGATGGGCCGGGTTGAAGCCCTTCATCCAGGGCCAGATGGACGAGTAAGAGTAGCCACCTTGAAAACTACTAGCGGTTCCGTCACCAGACCAATCGTCAAGTTGTGCCCCCTCCCGGTGCCCTCTGCTGACGTCACTTCACCTACTTCCACGTAAATTTTCCGTTTCGCGCGTGGAGAAAAAATTTATATAGTCATGGCGGGCGGTTTGACGCCGGAATCGATTTAATCACTTATATATGTTCTTTAGTATAATTACTTACCTTTGTATTACGTTAGTTGTAAGTCTTTTAATTTTTATGCACCTCGCACTGTGTTCAACGGTTTGATGCACGTAACTTTACTGTTCACATTAAGGTTAGCTTTATGAATGGATTTGTTTGATGCATGAGTGCTTCTTGCTTTCTGCTTCTTTGCCGTCCAAAGAAGGCGGGCGGTATGTTCGAGCGTCGAACGAGTCATCTAGAAATTTCTAGATCGCTTCCTTCGTCTCTGCTGTTCGTTCCGCCGGCCTCCAGCCATCTCTCTCGCTCCGTTGGCCGACGTAGCGAGCCGACTGGGCTACTAGACCGGCGGGCGACGACGGGGACGAGGGAACCATAATATAAATATGCCGCCGCATACTTGCTTTTCTATATACTCGGCTTAACGTACAAGTTTAGCAGAAATTCGAACAATCTGCTTCGGTTAGCAAGAACTGTTAAACTTTTCTTTGGATTTCTCTTTATTCAAATACAATTCTTAGAATCAAAGATCCTCCGTGATCATTTCGCACCTTTTTTCTATACGCGGTTGCTCCATCGGAAGGTATCGCTTCGGCAAGGTCGCGCACCGGCAAAAACTTTAAGTCGAATCCGTTCTCTAACCCCTTTCCCGGTTAAGGGGCGAAACGATCAAACAATAATTTAAACACAGGTTTTGTCGCGAGTCTCTGTTTGATACTTTGAAAAGCTTGCTCTTGGTCTTTCTCACATCTGAATTTATTATCGTCTTTTAACAAACACGTGAGAGGCCTTGCTAGATTTGCAAATCCTACAACAAATCGGCGGAAGAAACTTGCTAAGCCGATAAATCTACGAATGTCACCCTTACTTTGAGGCTGAGGAAACTGTTCGATTGCAACAAGCTTCCTTTCACCTGGCTGAATGCCTCCCCCTCCCAATGCATATCTTAAATACTCTACTCGTCTCATCCCGAATTTCCATTTATTTAAATTGAATGTTAATCGCGCGTTCTGAAGTAGCTGTAAAATGTATTCCAGATATTTAATTAAGGATTCCCAATCTTTCGCATAAATACAGAGATCATCAAAGAAATCGAAAACTATGCCTTTTCTTCGAGCAACTCCCAATACCCTGTCCATTAATTCAGCAAAATATCGCGGGGCGTTGACTAACGCCCTTTCGAACTGCCCTGTTTAAATTTCTGTGATAAACGCGGTTTTCTCCTTAGAGCTCTCGTTTAATGGCACCTGTAGATACCCGCAGGCTAAATCGAGAGTGATGAAGAGCTCAGCTCCGTTTAATTTTTCTAAGAGATCATCGAAATTAGGTATCGGATAAGGCATGATTTTCGTAACCTTGTTCAACTTTCTGTAGTCCACCACCATTCTGGCTGTTCCGTCTTTCTTTCTAACAACAAATGCCGGACTCACAAAAGGCGAATCTGTTTCCGTCACTATTCCGGCTTGTTTATAAACATGTCAGCAGGTAGTAGTTTCGAATAATTAATGATACGCGACGGGACGTTAATCGCGTGTGACTTGGCAAGATGAAAATGCAAATAACGAGATACGACAATAGCCACGGTTCGTCGGAAGTTTGGAACAAGATCAATGATTGTCCGTTGCCAATGATAACCGTATTTGCTCTTATTTCCGAGGTAAGAAAGAAACGATCAATCTGGATTTATGTCTTGAAACCGTAACAGTTCCGACTTCTTCAGTCGGACAGCAATAAAACACGAGGCTCGTAAAGTTAAAAACGCGCATTTAAATAAGGCTTCGCTTGGACCACTGCATCTTTTTCTGTAGCTATTGTCATTTCGATCTCATCCGTTACTCCTAACTCGCTTAAATTTTTCGCAATACATATCCTATATCTGTTGAAAAGGTCAACCAATTCTTTTCTTTGGCTTTCTGTGACTGAGTTATCTACAATTACTTCTTCTTCTTCTACAATTTCTTCTACTCTAGAGTTTTTCTTACTCACTCTCTCCACGGATAGAATCGGTTCACTTACTCGTTCTCCTGCTTTGATAATCTCGACTCTGTCTCCTCGGTTAACAATCGGGATATTAACCGTATGCGATTCTAATTTTAAATTAACAAAATTTACTACGCCGGTCTCTAATTCTATTTGACTAAGCGCTCGTGCTCGCGATTTTCTATATGTATCGAAAATGGTTGGATCAATTTCCGTGAATTTTAGGTCATCCCCAATTCTCGTGTAAACTAAATCCAGCGCTTGGGTAAAAGTGCGACCCAAAATAACATCATGTCTTTATGATTCGTCGGGAACCACCCTAAATGTATCAGTTCTCGGTTTTAATTGGTGAAAAACGGTATCTTCTTCTATCACACCTGGAGACTCTATAACTCCTCTCCCGAATCCTTCTAACACTGTGCGTACTGGATAAATTTTAAATTCCTCTCGAGCTACTATAGAAGCTTTAATCGTATTTACTGTCGCTCCCATGTCTATCAGAGCAATTACTTTAACTGACCCTATACAAATCTCGCGCACAAACTTTCCATCGACATCTCCCATTTCATTTAAACTAACCATATTCACTTCTGTTCTAAATTGAGTTTGAAATTGTCCACGTTTAAGGTTCGAGATGCCGGTTCGGTTGTAGGAATGGCGGTGAGACGGGTTAAAACTAGTTTGCACAATCTGAGTACAATCACAAACGTATATTTACAACTTATGTACACTATATACAATTGTGGTTCGTTGAACGATGCAAAGGCGATTGAATGTTAGTGCGTTGCACAATTTTACCCGCGTTGCGGCGAAATTCGAGATTGAGATCGCGATGTGTGCAACCACGTGTTAGTGTAACACGTGGCACCACGTAATTATATTAATTACGTGGATTTGCGCGTTTATAGAACCTCACGAGTTCGAGTTAGCCGTTGGCGTAAAATTCGCATTGCGATAGTGAGTTTACTAGAACCGAGATTCTTTATTTGCAATAGGAAATTACTAGATCTGTACAGCACGTGCGTGATAGTAGCGATACAAAACCGTAATGGCCGAACCACCGGCTTCGTCGTAGAAGAGCCGTTGGCTTCTTCCCGGTGACGTCAAGCTCGGTGATTGGTTGGCCTGACCGGCATCCAAGGTGGCTGCCGGTTGCGCTGCAGAGTACTGCCGCGGTCCGCGTGGCGACGGTTTACATTAATGCATTTTCGAACAACTTCGTTACCAACCAAACGATTTCGATATATTGATATCGTTTATCTGCTTATTATTTGCACATTGCGATTTTACTTTTTACATTATGATAGGCGACAAGAGATTAGGTTCCGTATTCATTTTAAACAACGACTAAAAATGTTCTACCCGTCCAATTTTTTTATTGTGCTATGCCAACGGGGTGCCAAGCCATTCGTTCGCGACCAACGTCAGGCCCGGTTTTCGTACCAGACACTGCAGTCCCTGGGACTGCACTCTATCCGCGCTCGGATTGGTCGGTGCTTTTTGCTATTAACTCGCAAACCAAGCCTTAACCAACAATTTAGCAAAGGAAAAAGTTGTTTAGAATCCCCTTAGCAATCATCCCTCTACGGCTGTCGAGGTAGTCGCCTGACACCGTGTAATTCCTACCAAATATGAAAGGTTTCATCGCGAACGATACATCCTTGCAGAGTAACATGAAGGCGTAGATTTCTTGCTATAACAGTAGTTATTAACAAATTCAATAAATTTTTGCAAGTGATATCATCGCGGATATACCTCCTACTAAATGTAAAAGGTTTCATCGCAATCGGTACATTCCCTGCAGCATAAACGCCAGAAGACGTAAATGAAGTATTACGTTTTTTGCGATATAAGTCGTTAGGAATGAAAAAATACAAACATTTTTTTGCGAGATCAATCGGGAAATATACTCTACAAGATACAAAATTTTTGTTACGATTGGTCCATCCGTCTCGCGGTAATCGGTGAAAAATATAAGTCAAGCATTACGTTTTTTCCAAAAAAATCGTTAACAATGATAAAATGTAAAATGTTTTTTTAACGGGACCAATCGGGAGACATACTCTACAAGATGCAAAATGTTTCGTTCCGATTGGTCCATCCATCTTGGAGTAATCGGCGAACATACATTTAGAAGAAATAGTCGTTAGGAATGAAAAAATGCAAAATAGTTTTTTTACTGGACCAATGAGGAGTTACACTCTACAGGACGCAAAAAGTTTCGTTCCGATTGGTCCATCCGTCTCGGCGTAATCGGCGAACATACATAAAAAAAAAAAAAAAAAAAAAAAAAAAAAAAACCATACATACACATCGAATTGAGTATCCTCCTCCTTTTCGAAGTCGGATAAAAAACTAGACATTTATCTTGCGTTTATATTTGAAGTGTGTCACGTCCGGAAAATTTTGCAAATTTGTCTACCTCACGTTCCCTTATTAAGCCTTCGGATTATAGGGGTCTCCTCATGTAAGGAACGTGAGGGGAAAAAATCACTTCTACATTATTTCAATTTTCTCTTCGACTCTGTACTTTCCCATCAAGCCTTTGGGTTGTGAGGGTCTTCTTCATGTGGGAAATGCACAGGGAAGAGTTTGAGCTTATAATTATTCTATTTTTGTCTTTCCTTTCCTTTAGCTTCTCTTTCATTTCTCTATTCTTTTCTTTAGTTTATTATCCCTCCTTGAAGCTATCGTCGTGCTCAATTGCGTAGTAACAGAATTCGAGATAGAAAAACTCGGTTTCGACCGAGGAGAGGTATTGTAAACAGCGTTCGCTGCGCAGTAAGCCAGTGCTTCGCATTATAGGGGTCTCCTCAGGTTAACTGCGCAAAAGCGTAAAGATCAATTTATCTTTTAGATTTTCAACCGATACTCTCCTCTTTTTCACGCGAAGGCGCCAGTCGGTCCCAAACCCGATCGTATGTGCGAATTGAGTGTTGGAATGAAAGTATGA